TTCCAGATGTTCAAGCTGGTTTTAGAAAAGGCAGAGGAACCAGAGATCAAATTGCCAACATCCGCTGGATCATCAAAAAGGCAAGAGAGTTCCAGAAAAATATCTATTTCTGCTTTATTGACTACGAGAAAGCCTTCAACTGTGTGGATCACAATAAACTGTGGAAAATTCTGAAAGAGATGGGAATACCAGACCACCTGACCTGCCTCTTGAGAAACCTGTATGCAGGGCAGTTAGGCTGCTGATAAACCCCAGCTGTTCAGGCTCTGGTTAATTAGTTAATGAGTTTCCCCTGAGGCCAGACCTTATTAAGATCAGAGGACCTGGGGTATTTCAAAATGGCTCCTTTCTCCCTCCCTCTGCTGGAAGCCCAGAGATGTTTTTCTGGATATTTTTAGTTTAGAAATCTAGTCAAGCTCCTGGAGATAAATCTCACAGTATTGTTGGGGCCACCTTGTGACTGGTTCCCCTGGAGTTTTTAATTCTCAGACCTGTCCACACTGAGTCTCCTGCAATCAGAGTTCAGGTTTTATTGTCCTGAGTGGTTCCTCAAGCTGTTTTGGCTGTTTCTGCTTGGAAGTCTCTGCTGTGGTGACTTGAGTATCTCAATATTTTCCCGTCAGTCTCTCCGTTCTCAGGGGCAAGGCTTTTCCCCGGTTTCTTCCCTCTCTTACAGATTCAAGAAGAGCTGTTGATTTTTTCATCTTTTCAGCTTTTTACTTGTTGTTAGGATGGAATGGTAACTTCTTAGCTCCTCACATGCATAAGCAGAAACCAAGAGTCATCATTTTTATTTTGGGAAAAATTCAGTGGCAGATTTTAAGTTGACTTCTCTCTGCTGTCTAACATGTTTTTGTTAGTCATGTTGTCTAACATGCCTTTCCTGCTTCATAAAATAGAATATATTCTTAATGTATTTTTCTCAGGCAAAATGTGGTTAAGACTTCTTCACCCTTACCCCTTCCCTCCGTATCATATAATATATTCTCTAGCCAGAGGTGATGAATGGTTTTGAAATTGTATCTTTAGGGGATTCTTGACATTCTTCCACCAATGCACATCACTATGGGTGTTCTCTCTTGCCTTTTTATTTTTGAAATAATACAGTTTTGAAAATGAAATTCTGTCTCTGTTATTAGACTCCCATTCATCTCCTCATCATTTCAGATGGAACTGATTTGGCCTATGCATACGTGGACTTTAACTTCGATGGTACCCTGCTGGCTTCTGTTGGTGGCAGCCCTGATCACACCCTGACCATCTGGAACTGGAAAGAAGAGAAGCCTCTACTGAGGACAAAAGCTTTCTCCCAGGAAGTTTTTAAGGTTACTTTCAATCCTGAAGATGACGAGCAGCTCACTACCTCAGGATCAGGCCACATCAAGTAGGTTGCGCACGTGATACAGATGCTAGTCTTTTATTGTTAGGATCTTTTCTAAGAGGTTTGATCATCTGGAGATTACTTTTGCTGATGTTAACATTAGGATACTTTTTAAATGCGTTACATTGAAAATAACTCTAGTGCAACTTTTCTAGTTGGTTATGGAGATTTTATTACTGAAAACAGCATAGATAAAAGAAGGGCTTTGAATTTAGCCTTCTGCCTTCTTATAGGCTTCACTTCCTGAGAGAGTTTGTGTAATATCTTACTAACATTGATTGGCGTGCTGTGTCCAAGTTCATACTGTGCTTTCAGATTGACTATTCAGTGTGTCGAAGTGATTCTGTATGATGGACAAGTCATTTTGATGTTTCTGAACTCAGTCTTCACTTGTGAATTGAGAGTTATAACAGAGAGTTATATTCTTGACACCTGACTCTTAATACTAAATGGTAGCAGAGCCTATTCTTGACCTCTGATATCTGGGTATTTTCACTGTATCACACACTGTTGTTTGTTCAGGATGGAATGATTTTGTCTTTTATTTAACAACCTTCTGGCACTACTCTCAAGTTGCCCATAACTTGCTTCCAGTATCTCTTTATGAGAAATAATCTATCCTAAATTCTTTATATTCCAACTTAAAACTGGTCTTTTTAAAATATAAAATAATTGAACAGATTTTTGAATCTTGAGAAGTCTCAGCTAGCTCTCTGCTAACTATAGGTTGAAAAATCTTAATTTTCCCATTGCTTACTAAAGTGTATATTTTCTATGTACTATATCTTTGGAGAAAGGCTTTAAAGGATTTCATGTGTGATGTGGTATAAAAAGAAATGTAGAGGAAATGGAAACATATGATCAAAGACCTACCATAGCCTCTGAGAAGGATGTTGATTGTTTAGGCTCTTGGCTTCATATTATTAACTTGTTAATACTGTCCATTATCTATTTTATATCCAGTTAGTAGATCAGATTCTTTTCTCAACATAATTTTCTTCATTCCAACTATTCATTTGTTTAGGTTATAAACAAGAAGATATTAGTAACTTAATATTTATTGATTTTATGTGGTAGACACTCTTCCAAGAGTTTTTCTTCAACAGTTTCACAAGGTTGGTGCAAATAATATTCTCATTTTACACATAAGAGAATGAAGATACATATGTGATCAAGAAAATTACACAAAGTCACACAGCAAGTAAATTAGAAATTTTGGAAAATATTTACATCCTCTAAAGCAGTACTATGTAGTAGAACTTTCTTCCAGGGTGGGAGTGTCCTGTGCTGGTCAGTCTAGAGACACTGGCCATGTGCAGCTACTGAATTCTTGAAACTGGTTGGTCTGAATAAAACACTAATTTTTAAATTTTATTTTATATTAATTACTTTAAATCTAAATAAAAATAATCAAACATATGGCTATTGCATAGGACAACACAACTCTAAAATGTAAGATTGACTCCAGTATCCTTGCCTGGGAAATCCCATGGATGGAGGAGCCTGGTGGGCCACAGTTCACAGGGTCGCAAAGAGTCGGACACGACTGAGTGACTTAAAAAAAAAAAAAAAAAGTAAGATTGACAAAGGCAGGAAACTTTTTCTTTTTGGACTACTTTGCTTGATGCCGAATTCATGTTGCCTAGAGCTTTGCCTGACAGGTAGTTGATGCTTAAAACAAATTAACTGAATGAATAGATAAATGAACTAATATGTGACTTTTAAATATGTAAATGATTGACATTAAAGTTAAAGTAAGATTTCTTTTAGGTACATTCAATCTTTCATTGTTTGCAGGTTCTGGGAAATGGCTCTAACATTCACTGGCCTCAAACTTCAGGGTTCATTGGGTCGATTTGGCAAAACAGCCACAACTGATATAGAAGGTTACATGGAGCTCCCGGATGGGAAGGTGAGTACAGTTGCTATTCTACAATAATGAAATTAATGAAATGAAGTGATGTACATGTATGAAAGCATGCTATTCAGTCTAAAAAGCATTGCCAATATTGTCAATAACAGATACTATAATTGTAAATATAATGAGCCTTTAATTTTGCCTTTTTAGATTATCAGTTTTAATTCTGTGAAACTAGTCCACATGTACATATCATTTTGTCTTTACTAAATATTATATGTACATAGAAAGTATGCAGGCATTTTCATATATTAATGTAGTGACATACTTGTCATTTTTAATTTTAATTATGTCATGGAGTTGCAATGTCTATAGTGTTTATCTCCCTCCTGTCGTCTTCACCATTATGCTTCAAGAGGATTTACTGGGTCAAAGGTTATATACAGTCTTGCAGCTTTTGTTTTTATCACCAGATTATTGCAGAGTGTCAGACAAGAATAAGTGACTATTACTTATTCACTCACTCACTATTATTCAGGAAGATTGAGACACTTTATAGTGATATCTGCAACATTGCAGTTGTTTTTTTTTAAAAAGCTTTTAATTTTGTATTGGGGTATAGTCGATTAACAATGTGAAAGTTTCAGGTGAACAGCGAAGGAACTCAGCCATACATATAAATGTATCCACTCTCCCCCAAACTACCCTTCTATCTAGGCTGCCTTGTAACATTGAGCAGAATTCCATGTGCTATACAGAATTCCAACAAAGTAGGCTGTTGTTGGTTATCCATTTTAAAAATAGCACTGCAACATTGCAATTTAAATCTTTTAGTTTAGCCTTTTCTTCTTATAAAACTTATAGACATTTTGCCTGTAGGATAAATTTTCCATTAATATTGTATTTGGCTTCTTGGTAGGTTGAGTTGTGGGCTTCCCAGGTGGTTCTAGTGGTAAAGAACCCACCTGCCAATGCAGGAGACATAAGAGATGTGGGTTATATTAGTATTTGTGATCATCTCAAGTATAAGAAAGTGCCAATATACAAATACTACTCTGAGAAACCAAATAGTCAATGCCTAGTGGAAAATTATCAATTTGAAATAATAATGTATGGGAGGAAATAAAAAGCCTTGGATGCTGGCTAAATCATTAATTATATATCTAAACCTATAAGATGATGATAAATCATTCTAGCTTCAAATTCTACTAAGAATTAGGCTAAGATCAGTTCAGTTCAGTCGCTCAGTCGTGTCTTACTTTGCGACCCCATGAATTGCAGCACGCCAGGCCTCCCTTTCCATCACCAACTCCCGGAGTTTACTCAAACTCATGCCCATCAACTCGGTGATGCCATCCAGCCATCTCATCCTCTGTCGTCCCCTTCTCCTCCTGCCCCCAACCACTCCCACCATAAGGGTCTTTTCCAATGAGTCAGCTCTTCCCATGAGGTGGCCAAAGTATTGGAGTTTCAGCTTCAGCATCAGTCCTTCCAATGAACACCCAGGACTGATCTCCTTTAGGATGGACTGGTTGGATCTCCTTGCACTCCAAGGGACTCTCAAGAGTCTTCTCCAACACCACAGTTCAAAAGCATCAATTCTTCAG